TAGAGATGGTTGTGCGTGAAAATGCCAGTGGATCCGCAGTTTTTGAAATACTCAGACCAGCCCGTCTGGCACCAACAACCATTCCACGTTCAAAGTCACTTAAATCCCCTTTCTTCCCCATTCTGATGCTCGGTTTGACCTTCAGCAAGTCGTCTTCACCACATCTAGATGCCTAAATGCATTGAGTTGCTGCCATGTGATTGGCTGATTAGCAATTTGTGTTACCAAGCAGTTGAACAGGTGTACCTAATAAAGTGGCCGGTGAGTGTATATATATATTCATGAGAGTATACTGTACTTATGCAGATAAAGTTGGACATACTTTAATAACCAACTTTATATAAACAGCTGTTATATAGTATATATAGTTATATTCTGTGACAACATCTTTATACAGTGTTTAAAACACATTTATTTTATTTACATTAATTTATTGATAGTCCAATTGTCCAACAATTTCAACAACTTTCAAATTAAATAACAAATTTTTTGTATAAAAAAAAAAGTTTTCTAACAAAAATACAAGCTTCATATTTCATATTTTCTGCATGTAAATCTCTGTAATGTTGTGTCACTTTGACTTCACTTGTAAGTGCACTGCAACCCTGAATACTCCTTGTCATGAGCACATTTTAAAGTCAAGAAATCATATGCTCACCTTATTTTAATGGATACTGCGTAGTTGGGATTGTCAATTTGGTTTCGGACATGTCGAACCATGTCTTTCACTAGCTCAGGTTTGTTAATCAGACACGCACCATAGCCTTCAGACACGGCCCACCTGCAACGAAAACCAGAGAAATTTGCGGATGCTACAAATGCAATCTGTGCAGAAAATGTTCAAACTTCAATAGACTTAAACCACCTGTCGATTACAAAATCGGACATTTTTTCACCCCTACTGTGTTTGTTTATTAATTATTTTGGGTAATTTGATTACAATTTAAGTTTAGTACCCTTGTCTCCATTTAACACAGTTAAATCCACGCTTTGCATTAAATTCAGACTGAAAAATGCACAAAACATTCAGCAGATTACATCTGGCCCTGCACAGCCATTTTTTGACATATATGTTGAGAAAGTCAACCCACATCCCATGTTTAATACACTGCTTTAAAAATCTTGTGTCAACTGTCATTCAGGGTAAATATTTGCACATATTTTGTAAACATACTCTGAATATTAGCATTACCTTTGTGGACAGCCGCAGTTCAAATCCACCCCATCTGAGAAAGAGGAAACCACACACGCCGCATCTGCCAGGGTCTGTGCATCCTTTGCAGCAAACTGGACGATCAAGGGCCTGTCAGCTAAGAAGCAAACAAATGTCATTTGTAATTACTGAGCAGAAAGCTGTGCAAGTGATTCAATGAAAAGTAAAAGGTTGCCTTGCATTAAATTAGTCTCACTGAGGTCAAATACGAGTTTATGAGAAAACAGGATAATTTTACACCAATAGAATATTCGGACAATTAAATGTATTCCTGTCTGGAAATGATTAAAGAAAATAGCTGAAAATGTTAATACTGTGCAGCAACATATGCATGATGCATGGTTTTCACTGTTTAATGATTTGTGTGTGTGTGTGTGTGTGTGTGTAAAACAAATTATATTTGAAAAGGTTCACTAATATTGCAGTGGTTCAGCTAGGTCTGTTAGATTTCCATTTGTCTACTTTCACTACACCTAGAGCAGAGTTTTTTAGCTGAAATAATCAGTCTTGTTGCAGACAGCAGGGAAAATACATGCATATAATAATGCAAAATTAAATAAATACTTAATTCTTGCTGTTAATGTTAAAGTTTGCATGCTCAAACTTTGTTATTTTAGCATAGATTCTACTGTCACTTGATTATATAGTTAATAATAATATCTGGCCAACCGCTTTTGCATATGTTAAGCTGGCAATTTTTATGCATTACCAAAATGTATATACATTTTCCTATTTAAACAATGCCATGCTGTAATACTGTAATAAACCCCCCAGAAAAGAAATGCACACAAACAAAAATAAAAACATTCTAGTAGAATATTTGATGGAATATTTGTTTGTGATGATCATATAAAAAATAGTAATTCATTCATTAATAATTTATAAATAAATAAGTAAATAAATACATGCTTTGTTTACTTTTGTATGATAAATTACTTTAATACAGCATGACAATTTTGATGTACGATGTCAAATAAAGTAAAACCAGTTGAGAACCACTGGCTTAGAGGACAACTAGTTGAAAAAGCTTACTCTTATTGGTGGTGAATTCACTGTCTCTAGCTTTTGCAGAGCGCATGAAATCAGCTGCAATGATCATTGGGGTGAAACACACATCACAGTCATATTTCCTCACCAAACATGAGCACATTTTAAAGTCAAGAAATCATATGCTCACCTTATTTTAATGGATACTGCATAGTTGGGATTGTCGATTTGGTTTCGGACATGTCGAACCATGTCTTTCACTAGCTCAGGTTTGTTAATCAGACACGCACCATAGCCTTCAGACACGGCCCACCTGCAACGAAAACCAGAGAAATTTGCGGATGCTACAAATGCAATCTGTGCAGAAAATGTTCAAACTTCAATAGACTTAAACCACCTGTCGATTACAAAATCGGACATTTTTTCACCCCTACTGTGTTTGTTTATTAATTATTTTGGGTAATTTGATTACAATTTAAGTTTAGTACCCTTGTCTCCATTTAACACAGTTAAATCCACGCTTTGCATTAAATTCAGACTGAAAAATGCACAAAACATTCAGCAGATTACATCTGGCCCTGCACAGCCATTTTTTGACATATATGTTGAGAAAGTCAACCCACATCCCATGTTTAATACACTGCTTTAAAAATCTTGTGTCAACTGTCATTCAGGGTAAATATTTGCACATATTTTGTAAACATACTCTGAATATTAGCATTACCTTTGTGGACAGCCGCAGTTCAAATCCACCCCATCTGAGAAAGAGGAAACCACACACGCCGCATCTGCCAGGGTCTGTGCATCCTTTGCAGCAAACTGGACGATCAAGGGCCTGTCAGCTAAGAAGCAAACAAATGTCATTTGTAATTACTGAGCAGAAAGCTGTGCAAGTGATTCAATGAAAAGTAAAAGGTTGCCTTGCATTAAATTAGTCTCACTGAGGTCAAATACGAGTTTATGAGAAAACAGGATAATTTTACACCAATAGAATATTCGGACAATTAAATGTATTCCTGTCTGGAAATGATTAAAGAAAATAGCTGAAAATGTTAATACTGTGCAGCAACATATGCATGATGCATGGTTTTCACTGTTTAATGATTTGTGTGTGTGTGTGTGTGTGTGTGTAAAACAAATTATATTTGAAAAGGTTCACTAATATTGCAGTGGTTCAGCTAGGTCTGTTAGATTTCCATTTGTCTACTTTCACTACACCTAGAGCAGAGTTTTTTAGCTGAAATAATCAGTCTTGTTGCAGACAGCAGGGAAAATACATGCATATAATAATGCAAAATTAAATAAATACTTAATTCTTGCTGTTAATGTTAAAGTTTGCATGCTCAAACTTTGTTATTTTAGCATAGATTCTACTGTCACTTGATTATATAGTTAATAATAATATCTGGCCAACCGCTTTTGCATATGTTAAGCTGGCAATTTTTATGCATTACCAAAATGTATATACATTTTCCTATTTAAACAATGCCATGCTGTAATACTGTAATAAACCCCCCAGAAAAGAAATGCACACAAACAAAAATAAAAACATTCTAGTAGAATATTTGATGGAATATTTGTTTGTGATGATCATATAAAAAATAGTAATTAATTAATTAATAATTTATTTATAAATAAATAAGTAAATAAATACATGCTTTGTTTACTTTTGTATGATAAATTACTTTAATACAGCATGACAATTTTGATGTACGATGTAAAATAAAGTAAAACCAGTTGAGAACCACTGGCTTAGAGGACAACTAGTTGAAAAAGCTTACTGTTATTGGTGGTGAATTCACTGTCTCTAGCTTTTGCAGAGCGCATGAAATCAGCTGCAATGATCATTGGGGTGAAACACACATCACAGTCATATTTCCTCACCAAACATCTGAAAGCCAACCTGAAAAATCAGGAATAAACAACACAGAAAACCATTCGTATCAGAACAACACATACAACATCCGCCTACATTACAGGAATCAGTTCAGTGTTGTCTCTTACTTCGAGTAGCGGACCATGGGTGCACACGCTCTGACTGGCCTTCCCCTGTTAAACAGGTCCATGATATTCCCACTGTCACTGTCCACTGGGATTTTACTGTGGACCTCTGTCATGATTTCCGCAACTTACAGTTCTAAGAAGTCATTGGAAAAGCGTGCGGTTCAAATACTCAATATTAAATTCCGTATTAAAATGTATTCCATTTTTATTACAAACAGGACGCATGTATTTCGTTAAAAAAGCGAGTTCTGAATAGTAAACATTAAGAATAAAACACGCGTGGATACAACCGGCTTCATGAGATTCACATGCGTAGCTTCTCACTTCCTGTCTCAATGTTGGTGGGTGTGTTTAACCTTTGACCTCGTATCCACAAGAAACGAAATTCGTATTTATTTACATTGATAATGTCATGAATAATTTACATAATTGAACAGAATACATGAGAACACTTTCTAAAATGAGTTAAATTAACATTAGCATAAAATTGTGTCCGTTCGCGAATTTACAATGATGTGACGTCAGTAAAACTAATTAACATTCATGACCAATCGCCGTTGCTCTCCATTCCTGTTGTGACGCAGGGATTGTACGTCACTGATGAAGTGGCAATGATGGAGGCTAGTCTGGAATCAACAGCGAATTCACTGCTGAAAGATGGTAAATCCAGCTTTAATAGGATTTCTCTTTTTGAATTGTATGTGTGCATGTGTTTGTACGTTAACCAGGCTGATTAATCATCTCGATCGGCGCCTTTAGCTGCAGTAATAGCACAGTAACACAAATACCCTGTGTATTGTAATGTAGCAGGTGTTCTGACAAATAATGCTACCTATCAGATTATGCTACCAACACTGTATTTATCCTACTGTAAGGGTAGGTTTAGGGTTGGGGTAGGTGTACATGTTAATAAAGCCTCACACCTTATTAATATCATGCTGGAAGCAAAATCTGATAGGTAGCACTTTTCGCTATCGAATTATGCTACCATCTGTTTTAATGGGACGTAGCAAAATCTGACAGGGTAGCACAAATCGTCAGAACACAGGTAATGCGATCTCCTGTTATGTGTTTTACAAATCCTGATCCTTTTCCTTCCAGAGTGCTACACTGATTTCCTTAAAGAGGATTTCGATGTAAAGACATACACAGCTCAAGCCATTCATCATGCTGTCATTGCAGAGCAGCTGGCAAAGCTGGCAGAGGGCATCAGTCAGCTGGACAAAGAGCTGCACTGCCAGGCGAGTCACACCTGTCAGGATGAGCAGCTTTCAGTGCAGATCCATGTTAGCATCATGTTCAGAAAGTTAGAAAGCGCCTTAATGCTTTATAGGTCATCTCTAAGCACTGGAAACTACATGAACATTAAAAAAACTATCAATTATAACACGCATTATAAATTGCATACCAATATTTTGTGTTGTTTTTGATCACAGGTAGTGGCTAGACATGAGGATCTACTAGCTCAGGCAACAGGGATCGAATCTCTTGAAGGTAATACTTCATTATCTGCTTTACAATTTAAGATCCCAATCATCAGTTGCATTCAGTTTATTATGTGATCTAATAATATTAGTTTCAAATCCATTTTTATCTGCATGATGCCTCATTTGAAGTTGTAGGAAATGGATATTTCACAAGCATATAAAAATTACATTTGAAGTATTCTGAGATGACATATATAGAAGATGCAGTGTGCAACTTTTCCTCAGTTTTCAGGGGAATCATCTATACGACTTGCCTATAGTTGTCTCAGCTTTATAATCTAAGAAAAATAATTAACATTAAATCACTCTGATGAATTGGAATGACTTCAGATGATGCCAACTTTAAATCAGCATACAAAACTGCCAAATTTTCTTTATATTGCAATCATTATGATCACAACATGTAATCAAAGCTTTAATGCATTCATTGTTTTTGCTTAAATGATTATGTGACGTTAACCAGCTGCATCATTTGTATGCATGGACATTACTTTGACACAGTCACTTCTGATAACAGATTGTAATTAATTGTAATGTAGAAAAACGCGTTTTCTGTAAAGCTGCTTTGAAACGATATGTATTGTGAAAAACGCTATACAAATAAATGTGAATGGAATTGAATGTACGTGCAGTTTCAGCAGCTGTCCACCAGGGGAATCCCTTGTCACATCTCAAATTCTTGCACAGTGGATGTAATTCAGCTCATTCTGAGCATGGAAATTGTGGGTGTTTTTGCTTCTAGGTGTCTTACAAATGATGCAGACCAGAATTGCAGCTCTCCAGAGTGCTGTGGACAGGTAAATGACTCCATTGAAGGCATTGAAATGATCCATGTTTTTAAAAAAGTGGTGGTCACATGCATGATTAATAGATATCAGAAAATGTGCTATTTGTGCTATAAATTGAAAATTGCAAGCACCAATTAGTCAGACTGCTTTGCAGTATTTTATTTATGCATTTCTTTTTTCTCTTTCCTTCCTTTCTTAGGATAAGAACCAAAATTGTTGACCCTTACAATAAGATTGTGGCGCGGACAGCCCAGCTCGCCCGCTTACAGGTTATTTTATTACTTTTATATCTCGTTTTGTCATCTCATATCTGTCTATCCCTGGATATTCCAACAGAGACATTCTGCAGAACTATCATTTCTTCATTGCTCTGCTTTACAAACACTGCGCCTTCGCTCAGAGGCATGATTTCCATGTTTATTGGCTCGACATCGGAGATAGAGACAACCCTGGCTTCACAATTGTTTGCAGTCAAGACAGATTCTGTATTACACCCAGCATGGGGGGAAAAAAGAAATGCACACAAACAAAAAGAAAATAATTCTGGCGGAATAGATGCTTTTTAATATTGATTTGAGATTATCACATCCAAAAAATAAATAAATAAATAAAATGAAAATATAGATTTTCAAAATGTTTTAACATCTAAAAAGAATAATAAATAAATAAATGAATAAAAATTTTACCAAAAATAAAATTAATTTAAATAATTTGTCTTTCAAAAATCTTTTAAGAGTGTATTTAGCATGACCTTAATATATCTCTTAAATGATTTGTATTTATTTATTCACTCTCATGTCTTTTGTTTCCTTCGAGGAACATAAAACTAGCATCTTTGTGCAGTATTTAAGATTTGCAGTCTTTTTTCTTCAGTGACAGTTCATAGTGACCTTCAAAATTAAAGGGGTCCTATTATGCTTTTTCACTTTTTCAACTTTAGTTAGTCTGTAATGTTGCTGTTTGAGCATAAAAAAGATCTGCAAAGTTACAAAGCTCAAAGTCCACTTCAAAAGGAGATATTTTATTTAACAGAAATCACTTTTCAAAAACTACAACGAATGACTCATTTGGACTACAACGCATATTTTCCGACGAATGGGACGAGACCTTGGTTGAGCTGCACTAGAGAAGGCAATGAGTGTTATCACTATGTCGGAGACACGCTAGCTTTCCCAAGACAGACGAACTTAGAGTGGTTATAATCATCCGGGTTTAAATCGCGCTCAAATTGATTTGATATTGACGCAATTTTTACACAGAAGCTCGCAGGCGGCTATGGTTAGGGGTATGACATTTCCCGACCAGGCGCCGAGTGCTGCCAATCACAGCACACACTGGCCCAGCTAACCAATCACAGCACACACTGGCCCAGCTAACCAATCACAGCACACACTGGCCCAGCTAACCAATAACAGCACTTTTCGTATTTCAGAAGGCGGACCTTCATTTGATACAGGAACTATTCGAGCCGTTCATGCCAGACTGGGGAGAGAGGTGTTGTAATGTAAAATATGTGAAAAATAATGTGTTTTTCGAACAACCTAGTATGAGAGCCTGTTCTAGTACACCCCCAAAACAAAATCAAGACTTTGTAAAAGAGCATAATAGGACCCCTTTAATTTCTGTCAAGTTCCACAAGCAAAACAACAAATAAAAAAAGTCTGTAGTGCCTGTGTGCCATAGTCCATATCTTCTGAAGCTTGTATGGTCTACTTTTACTGTGCTTTTTGTTCTCTATGTAACTTGACAGATGTGGTTACTATGTATTGTCATGGTAAAAAAAAAAAAAAGTTCAAAACATCTATTTTGGCTGAAGGAAAGTCTGTGCACCTGCTAGTATCTTTGTGTTGCAAGGCAAGAAAATGCACGCTTTTATCATGTTCACTTTCTGCCCACCGGTTCACATGATGTCATCATGAGTGAAGCTTCAAGTCTGCAGAAAAAAATCAATAAAAGTCCATTTGGACCTGGAAAAGAAGGGTCTCTCTCACACTCTATCAGTCACACATGTGAATACCCACAGCTGTCCCGCTCTACACGTCTTGTGGATTTGCATGGTCTTCGGTCCTGGTTTTTAGTGGCTTTGGGGAATTGTTATTAAATATGAATGAAATACAGCTGTGGAAAGGTCGCTGTGGTTATGAAATGCTCCCCTTTACTCTCAAAACCCTTTTCTGCTCCTTTTCTTGTGCGGCTTTATTGAAGTGTAGAAACACATTTGCATTTTTGTGTTTGCTAATCAGCATAGCACCATGATGATCCGTCAGTTTATGGTTTTGCATGCAGCTATATAAAGGAAATAAATTTGTAAAGGAGAGCAGGGCATGTTGTCACTATTTCTGTGCATAGTCTTTTTATTCTTTCAATTCTTTAATATTTTTAAAATATTGGCAGATACGTGAAGGCCACAAAAAAAAAAAAACATGAATGCAGGAATTGCACCAGTGCTATTGTATGATTGGGGGGGGGGCGGAATGAACATTTGTTGAGCATGGGGCAAGTTGTCACAATTATTGAAACCTATAAAAGAATATATTTGTTTGAAATATGAAAATATCTAGTCTGTGTGAGAATATGCAAAAGCATGCATCACTATTATTATTGTTCATATATATTTTTTTTAAACATGAAACATTGCTCTAGTCTCCCCTACTTATTGTACTATTTTATTTTTGTGGTTGACTATATCTGATGGCACAAATAGCTTCAGAAGTGTGAGACTTTGTTCATTCCATGTTGTTTTTGTGTCTGGGTCTGTCCTGTCCTTGCCTTTAGCAACGCATTTTTATAATTTATTTTTATTCCTCGTAAGAATAAGACCAGACCTGACGATGGGGACACAGCTGATTTTTTTTTTCTTTTTTCCTGTTTTACTTTTGTAATTTTTCTGTCACAATATCTGACACACTGTCACCCCAGGACAAAGCAATCAGTTTCAGACACACACAGAATCAGATGCACGTACCTTTGGGACAGTTCAGCGGCACCTATTCACTGAAAACCAAAAAAAGAGTGACCTCCACGAGTCCTTCATCCACCTGCTGTCTGCCCACAGGCTTGATCGTCGCCACACTATACTGAATGTGTGGCTCAGTTGCATGATTTTAGCACAAACGCATTGCTTTACAAGCATTTCCTATTTATTTTTTATAATATAGTGTCTGTTGGCTGTTAGGGTGTGAACTAAATGTTTATTCATGCCTGTTTGTAGTATATTATGTGTGTGAAATGCATTGATGATTAATTGATAGCATATTCTAGTGTTAAAACAACCCTGTGAGATGATGCACATCCTTCTCCTTAATTAAATTAATCCAAAATTGATTAAAGCACCACTTAAAAATTAATTCTGAGTCTATTAGCAAAGATTTGTGCGAGGGGAAAAAATGCTATTATCCTAGTTAAAGACCCTTAAAAAAGACCCCCAATTGGTCTCTAGATGTAGGTCAGGTCCCTCCTTCAATTTAGGTCTATGTTTCATCCATTATTAGTCTTGCAGACAAAAATGATAAGTTTGATTAGTAACACCACGCTTTTCCTTAAAGGGATAGTTCACCCAAAAGTGAATTGTCATCATTTACTCACCTGTATGAGTTTCTGTCTACTGTTGAATACAAAAGAATATATTTTGAAGAACGTTGGTAACCAAACAGTTGCTGGTAGCCATTGATTCTATAGTATTTTTTCATACTATGGAAGTCAATGGTTACCAGCAACTGTTTGGTTACCAAATGATCTTCTTTTGTGGTATCTTCATTTTTGGGTGAGCTATCCCTTTAACAAGCCACACTATATATCCTTCTTGTCTGTAGCACAAAATGTGTGTTACAAGGGATCATACGGGATCATAATCATGGATATTAATACCATGATTTTACACTAGTAGCATGAAATATGAGTCACTAATACCAGATTTCCAGTTTTATTGTAGGTTCAGTCTATATCATGGAAACTATGGTTGCCATGGTAAATTTTTAGATGGAGGATTTCACTTTATCATAATGTAGACATCACTGTCATTACCTTATCATTGATATTTGCTTGTGCTGGCAATCATAGACCCACAAGTCATTATGTTATTTGATGAATGCAGAAATGAGAAGTCTTATCTTATTCTGTCTGGCAGGTGGCGTGTGACCTGTTGAGAAGGATTATTCGCATCCTGTACCTGAGCAAACGACTGCAGGGGCAACTGCAGGGGGGCAGCAGAGAGATCACTAAAGCTGCCCAGAGCCTCAACGAGCTGGGTGAGTGACCTATCACGATGAGCGTCTACTTTACTCATCTCTCGTGTCCTTCAAAACATTTATTCATAATGGGGCATTCTGCACGAGGCAACAGAAACACAACACTTGGGCAACACTTTACCTCTGTTGTCTTTATTGGGTTGTATCACGTCCATGACGGCTAATCAGAAAGCAAGTTGGTGTAGTACTCTTAAAAATAAAGTTTTTTTTTTTTTTGCAGCAATGCCATAGAAGAACCATTTTGAGCTCTCCAAAGAACCTTTCAATGAACAGTTCTTAAAAAAAAACAAAAAAAAAAAAAACTTCCAATTGTTCTAAAGAAAATTAATAATCTAAAGAACCATTTTCCACTATAAAGAACATTTTGTGGAAACGAAGCGTTCCATGGATGTTAAAGGTTCTTCATGAAACCATAAGGCGCTTTCGCACCAGAGGAACCTTTTCATAGTTCCTAGAACTATTAGCGGAAGTTCTCGCTTTTTGGCATGTTCGCACCGCAGGAATTAAGAACATATTTAGTAGTGCTGGGCAATGATTAATCACATCCAAAATAAAAGTTTTTGTTTGTATAATATATGTGTGTACTGTGTATATTTATTATGTATATATAAATACACGCACATACAGTATATATTTTTAAAATATTTACATGTATATATTTATCTTCATATAATTTGTTATATATAAATTAGTGCTGTCAAATGATTAATCGCATCCAAAATAAGTTTTTGTTTACATAATATATGTGTACTGTGTATATTTATTATGTATATATAAAGACACACACATACAGCATATTTTTTGAAAATATTTGCATGTATATATTTATATTCATTTAAATTATATAATATATAAATATATTTAATATATAAATGAAACATATTTTTCTTAAATATATACATGCATGTGTGTGTATTCATATATACATAATAAATATACACAGTACACACACATATATTATGTACACAAAAACTTTTATTTTGGATGCGATTAATCATTGCCCAGCACTAATATTTAGATGTAGGAACTCCATTTGGGGGAACTAATTTAGCTCCTACTTAAGAGCAGGGTCTAAAACAGTTCTATAGGAACTATCTGTGACGCAGTGTACACTGATTGGCCAAACGCATACAAAACACCGGCTACTTGCCATTTTTAAAAAGCCATGTTAAAATATTTTATAAAATTTACATGCATATAAAATTTCCACGAACCTGGAAAACAACGATAACGGCATTTACCTGTTGTCTGCAGCGTTGTGTTCTTTTCTCTGCCTCGATGATATGTAACACTGCAAGTTGTCATTGAAAATTTCATCTCTTAGCCCAGTTTTTGCTGTTTCAATCGCGTAAATTGTGCATTTACATTCCATCTCCATTATCACGAAACCCATGACACACAACAAAAACAGCTCCGATCACGGCGTCTTCCATTCACCGGTTGTTGACGTTCGTAAATGGCGTGCATTAAGACGTCGCTGTCGGCCGCTTCAGAGTTCCTGCTGCCGGTGCAAATGCAACCAGGAAAACGGCCCGAGGGAGAAATTGGTTCTCTAGGATCGACCCTTCTAGCTAGTTCCTAGAGCTAGGTTCATAGAACTACGTGGTGTGAAAGCCCCTTTTAAGTGTTCCTGTTTTTCTAACATCATGGCAGTTTTTCATATAGGATTTGGTTGTTTGGGCATTTGGCAATGTTGAATTTTGTATTCCTGTTTTTAGGACACTAATGGCAATTATTCAAAAGCTATAGCATCTTCCACTTTTGTGTAAATGGCATTAGTTCAATCTTGTACGGTTTCCAGGTCAGCCCTGTTCTTGTGGCCTAAATGTTTTGCTGAGTTTGCAACGCAGGTGCGAGGACCATCTAAAACTGGTTCTGAAATTGTCTGACCTGCTTTGGAGATATTTTAGGTTATGCTTCGTTGAAACCCCCTTGATTAACGCCTGACCCGAATCGCATGTACAAGTGACTTTAGTTCCAATAGTGACCCGAGTGCATTATAATAATCTCATAGAGCTTAAAGTAGACATGAAATCAAAGTTGACCCCATTTACTTTCTTAATGCAATCTCCAGGACGTATTGGTGACGTCAGCCCTCAACCCCTCTCTGTCATATAGAGAGCACCTTTCATGATCCAATCAATTTCTGTTGCATCAAATTAAAGCCTGCCCCACAGATTTTTTTCCATGTTGACAATCTTGTTTCACTAGAAAAGCCACATTTCAAAAGTAAAATGAGAACATAGAGCATTGGCATATTATTGTCTGGAATTCATGTGGTTGTGGACACTATCTGAAATGAGAGAATTTGTTTTCGGTCATGGGTTTAATGGCTGTAATATCAGATTCATATTGACTGGTACTCTGTTGACCTTTTGTTTGTATATTTGCCTAGATGTCATATGGACAGATAAATAGTGCAATGCAAATTCAGTGTGCTCTTATTCCAAGTTTGTGTGATACAGTAAACACATGCTTCATTATTGAGTCCCAGGCCCTGTGGGATAAATTCCAGTGAAGATCAGCAAGGTATTTTTTCCTGGTTTCTATTTGAATATTGTTTTCAAATGAAGCTAAATCAATGCAGGCGGACAGTAGTTTCCCATTGTGCATAAGGAGGGCATGCTGATTTTTGCATTTACCACTTGCATAAGCTCTGTTTGTGAGTTGCTTCCTGTTAGAGTTCCAAATCAGTCAGTTATGAGATTCCTTAAAAGGCAACCTGAGCTGTAGTCTTATTCTCTTTGTGTCAAAATATGATTCAGTAATATGTTTTCCATCCATTGAATTATTTAGCATGTCAAAGTGAGGGTCATATTTGGATTCGTCTCACCCAGCTAATGGATTACAGAGACATCTTTGCATTAGCGTCACCATCCAAGATGAGACAATTAGACTGCTCTAACAGCACCTGTCCGTTCTTTTCGCTGGATGCTCAGCTTTTATGCCTTCCCTCCACCCACTCAAGGTATAACATGAACAGCCAGGGTCTGATATGATATTATCTGTTTGTGCACCTCTCTGGCATCCAGCGTAGAAAGTTGTCTAACAAATCTCCCATTAGGCAACTTGTTTAAACACGCTGCCTTACAAGGAAAGCTTTTTGTCTGTAGGTTTTAACAGTGTTTTAGGGTACATGCTAGATCACAAATACAGCAGGATGCAGCTCTGAAACTGTAGAAGCAATTAAACTGCTTTCTTTGTTTTGAAGTCTGTCTCTGTCTAGTGCATGCTGTCCTCAGATGCTATTACAAGAAACCTGACGAGGTGCAGTTGGAAAGTGACTGGGTCGAGCTTGAGAGTTTATAGAAATGCTGATAGCATCATGTTATTGGATTGTAAACAAGACAATCAGTAAATGATAATGGACCCTTGAAGGTTTAATTGACAAATTGATTTCCTGTTTACCATAACTGTGTGAGACCTTAACTGAGACATCATTGTGTTCCAGCGTAGTGTTGAATGGATAGGCAGCATATATAATTTTTTACCAAAGTGGCCAGTATGGCATCAATTCAAAACAGTTCTTCTTTGTCATTAGCTTTGCAGGCCATTTGTTATTTTCTTGGTTTATCTCACTGCTTGCACAAAACATATGCCTGAAATAGCTCTGAGTTATGGCGGTCCTAACACAATAATGACAGCTCACCATCTTGCTATGATTTATGAATCCCTTCCCAGCGATGTAAGGTATGGATGGGTGGCCAGATGGATTGAACAGTTGAGGGAGTACTCTAAATGGCTTAAAGGGAAGATTGACTAGGGCAATGGAAGGAGGTGAAGGTGTTTTGATTGGTGGAGGACATGTGTGTGACTGCTGTCAGCCATAATGAGATGATTGGAGTGGGATAACATGGGCAAACTGAAGGAATGAGGCTGTTATTGGAGAGAGGAAATCAAAGTCAGATAAATGTCAAGAGCTGAGAATTGACAGGAAGAAAGGTGAACTGCATGCTGCAATCTGTTTGGGAAACAGTCATATATCTATATGTGAGTAAATGTACTTGCATGTCCTACCTTGTTACGCTAAATATTGAAATAAGGTGTCTATTTTAAGGTGTCCTTGTTACATGTTACATGTACTTACTATTATAATAACAATTAATTATCCTTAATTGCATGCAAGTAAGCCAAACCCTAATCCTAACCCCAACCATATAGTAAGTAAATGTATAATTAAACCATAATAAGGACACCTTAACATAAAGTGTAACCTAATAAAGTATATTTTGTATTTATACAGTACTGTATATGAATAATAGCATTTGCTATTACTGATCACTCATTTTTAACTCCCATAGTACCTTGGCTAAATTTGTCTATTTACAAAGCAAATGGCTTTCAGAGTAGTGGACAGATACCTAAGATTCAGTGCAGGGGATTTAATTCTGTTTGTTTTCTACATCACTTGAACTGCACCTGCCTGCCAGATGGAGATGGAATGTCAATCACAGGACTTTGGACTCAGTGACTCACTCCTCTGGGAATATATGAGTGACATATGGACGTCGCGATCAGTGTAGCAAGGTAAGAGGAATAGATTGAGCAAATGAAAACAGACAGTGGAAAAGTAAGGATGCTCCATGAGGATGCGCCAATTAACTAGCTTTTTAAAGACAAAGAGGTGATGTGGTTTGTGGTTTGGCTGTGGATATGGGGACTGACAGAGAGAAAGAAGATTTGATCCTTTTTTTCTTGGTGCATTAAGTTTTTGGTTAAGGTTGTGTAAAACAAAAAAAAAAAGCTAACCAAGTTACTGGGGTCTAAATCAAGATACATGTAATAGTAGCAATACCAGTCAGTTCAGCATTCTTAACCTCTTTTTATTAGCATTAAAAATGAAACAGTACTTTGCATTTGTGCTAATGTGACTTTGGATGCTTTAAGGCCCTGAACACGACTTGTAAGCAGAGCCGTCCAAGTTTTGGCAGCCCTTTTTACTGGCAGAAGGCCCGTTGCTCGCTTGCAAATATGATATTTTTCCCCACTTGCCTCTCAGA